TATGTAGGTATGTATGTATGTATGTATGTATGTATGTATGTATGTATGTATGTATGTATGTATGTATGTATGTATGTATGTATGTATGTATGTATGTATTTTTGGATTTAATATGGCGACCAGGACGGTTGTAATTAATGAAGTCCTGTATTTTTTGAAAAATAAGTTCGGTTTACTTGATGATGAAAACTTTGTTAATAATGTTTCGGAATTTTATACAAATGACGACATTGTTGGAGCTTTAAAAATATTAAAAAATGAAATGGAAGTCAATAAAAGTGAAAAACTCGACAAAATCATACCTCGTGGAACGACTAAAAAAGAAAGGTTACAAGATTGCATTGCTATTTTAAAATATCTAAAATTATCAGATTTGATGGACAAATGTTCGATTTTTGTCAGTAGTGACCTGGAAAAAATTCCAGATATGGAAAGTTTGATTAAATTAAATTTTGAAAGTTTAAAACGAGAAATTACCGACATATTGCACAGCCAACAGCAGCACGTGCTTAATACCTTAGAGGTGCACAACAAGGAAATTTGCGCGGTAAAAAACACCGTTAATAATATAGCGCTGAACTACGATAAAACGACATATTATAATCACCACAACAAACTGCTTTCAAACTCGAATCCCTTAGGACGAAGTAGCAAAATGCATCATTGTAGCTACGCTGACAAAGTTTCATCGAATTTATTAATATCTGGCACTAAAACATCACACTGTAATGAAGTTGAAAAAAGTATAGCGCCAAAGTTACTTGAAAAGTCAAGCGATTTAATTGTTGACGTAAATAATCAAAATTTCAACCCTGGAAACCTGTGGTCAGATGCCGAGAAAACACCAGTGGAGGATGGGTTTAGAGAGTACATTTCCAGAAATAAAAAAAGAGCCAGACTAAACAACTCATCTGAAGATAATAATGAAATGAAATCAAGTGGTACCACCGGTAACACGGGCAATGTTAACGCATCCATTCCAAAACCAATTAAAAAAATTATTGGCATCAAAGTAATCGACAACTGCAAACTTCAGGCCGAAAAGAACCTTATAAAAAAGACCGTTTTCTTGATGAGCAACGTAAAAGATGTCACAGAAATGATGTCATAGATTTTCTTAAAACAAGTGGTATAAACGTCATCTCTTGTTTTCCGGTGATAAAACGTTCTAATCAGGAAATAAGCGATCCAGTAAACAAGGATGAGGAAGAATCAACGATGTTTCGTGTATGTGTCGAAAGTTGCGATGGACCGAAGATGAAGGACCCGGAAATTATGTTAAAACACATCATTGTACGCGAATGGCGTTTCGGGAAAAACACCGACAAAAACTCCGATACAACGAACAAACATGGCTGACAAAAATTCGTTAAATACTGCTAACGATACTCGCAGCAATCTTGTAGAAAAAACCTGCAGACTATATGACGATATAAATCAAATAAATGCTTTGTATAACTCCATCAGCGACAACGGAATTAACGACAATTTGTTTTTCAAGCTAATGCATTTAAACATTAGAAGTTTAGTTCACAAATCAGAAGACTTACTCGATTATTTAAACAATTTTTCTTTTAAATATAACATTATTGGTATAAGTGAAACGTGGCTGAATGATGACAATATCAAGTTAATAAATATTACTGGTTATGATTTTGTTGGTAAAAATCGCGTCTGGTAAGCAGCGGTGGTGGAATACGGTTTGTATATTGATAAACGGTATTACGATAAAACAAGAGACGACATCAAT